AATAGATAGATAGATAGATTTGTCGTGTAAGAAAAGTACAATAGTTGTTGGATATGTATGGTCCTCTACTATCTTTTGAAAAACGTATATAGGTATATGTGTATGCTTTTTGCAGTATGAAATGTATGAAAAAACCTTTTGTTGAACTTCACTTTTTTCTATAAAGTTTTACATATACCAATAGAATATAGTTCACGACTAACGAGCCCACTATTTCAGGGAAGGTGTTGGCAAGAGGTGAAAATTTACATTTCTAAGCTAGTTGATGTCTCTGTTGTACCAAGTGAGCTGACTGATGTGAGAATATCAGATGAGCCAATTGAGAATACTGTCACAAATGAGTCAGTTAAGGTTGTTGTACCAAGAAGAAGTCAAAGAGAAAAAATAACTCCAACTTATCTTGATGACATTTTTTGCAAACTTCGTGAATGAATATTCCACAATCTGACACGAAGTTCAATTTTTCTTTCCCACCAAATGGGAATATTGTTCAAAAAATTCTGAATAAGAAACTTATGAGATTCATGGGCAACCGTATGAAAGCACATCCCATTTTTGCTTGTTCTGACTTATATTTGTTCTAAGTCCTTTACATTTGGCTAATTGATGAAATATATCCATTTTTCAATGGAAATAAAAAATGGAGATTCTCAATAAACATGGTTAGATTTAGAAGGTGATATGCAATTATTTTATTTATATGGAACAATACTATGGTTATATTTCATTTAGATCTAATGTAAGGCGATATGCAATTATTTCATTTAGATCAAACTGTAAAATATTAGACATTATTGTAAGTTCCCCTCTGTTATATCAATTGTCTTATTACTAATTAGGTTTAATTTCCATAAAGTGCAGAATCATTCATGGTTCTTGTGTTTCTGTTTTAATTCTATGTTTTTTTTTGTAATTATATATATTGTGAGGGCATCAAGGAGGAACAAACAGTGTTTCAGTGAAAAGACTGTTCAATTACTGTTTGATACCAACATAGTATATAGATACCATGAGAGTATATAGTTACCATCAGAGTGCATATATATATATCATGATGGTATCAAGGATAAAGAAGCAGTTATTTAGTGAATATAACAAGGGAGCAATCAGGTAAATAGTTTGGGTCGTTGGTCCAATCAGTTTAAGTATAACGGGTTGGGTCCAATTTGGATAAATATTTTTCCTAATGAGTCCAATTCATGTAGATTTCCCCTTTTAATTCCAAAAAAGAATAAAAGTCCACATAGCCCAATCTGGCGAAGCCCATACCCACAGGGTTGGGAAACAAAAAAACACAAAAAAAAGGGAAAACTTGTGCCCAGAAAATAAACTTCCCATTGGATCCATTAGATCTTCACGATAAAGCTACTCTCCGTGCAAAATTGAATGTTCTACCATGAAACGATTGTGCAATGACCAAGATCCCTCATGTGTTGAGTTAATTTCACCCTAGACATAAAAAAACCTCACTGATGTCGTATAATTGATTTCGTTGAAGAGTTCTTCAACACGAAGCTGGTAAGAAATTATCTCTCAATCTTTCATAGATATAACTTGAGTAATAGCTAGGACAATGGCTTTAAAAAAATTGACGACAAATTCATTAGTTGCTCTTTCAACAGGTTGAGTTTCAAAAGAAGTTAATACCACAACTATTATACAAAAGGTTCATAAAGGATTATGTAACACCTCGGTATTTTAAAGAGCTAAAAATAGAAAAAACTTTATTGAAAATAGAAAAAATTGAAATTTTGCAAGTTATGCATTAGTTATGAGTTTTGGATCAACTTCAAACGACCATAACTTTTAGAGGATGAGTTAGGTGACCCATAATATATGAAATGAAAGGTCTTAGAATCCTCTTTCCAACGCCACCGAGTTTGCTATTTTTTTAGCTCGTATGAGGCAGATATGCACATTTGAAGTCAGGCTGTCCTACTAAGGAAAGTTACCCGAAAATATGATGGGTATTTTGGTCTTTTCCTTACCCCCGTCAGCTTAAAACGAATTATGATAATATTTAGGGGTGTAAACTGATTTGGTTCAGTTTTCACAATCCTAATTTACGCTAGGGTTATAGAAAAGAGTTCAAGAAATGAACAGAGGAGAAAGGAGGGAAGATTCACGGCGTTTGTCAAGCTTTTGAAGTTTTATTCCGGAATTTGGCCAAGGTTTGATCCCTAAGAAGTATGTGAGTTCTTATAGTGTTGGGTTTTTTCACCCACACGCCAATCATGCTATTTTAATGTAATTTTGTTCTCGAAGTTGAAAAATTTGCTGAGTTTTCTTGAAATTCCATTCGTAATCTTTATTGTTGGGATGTTGATGAGTTCTTGAGATAAAAGACAGTGATTTGAGGGTTGTTTTGAGTAGACTATCGTGTAGTTAGGTTGAGTATTCAAATCTAAGTGAGTGGGGGAAGAAACCATACGATTCTAGGAGAATTAGGGTCAGAAAATAAGAAAGAAAATTCGTCAGGGAAATCTGGGCAAAGACAGGTGACGAGCACAAACACACTATAAGTTTAGTGCTTCACTAGTCAAAGATAGTATAGTATAAACATCGTTTCCATAGGGATTGGTACAAATAATAATTCAATCAAATCTTGCTAACTATTATTCAGATGATCAAAAGAAAAGAGTTGATTGTGGTTATGAACCACTTTTATAGACTAAATGATAATTAAAATCAATTGGTAACTATGAAGTTTAAAATCAATACTAAAATATAGGGTACAAGACTAAACAAGTGCATAACAATAGTTGGGATTTGACTACATACATTTATCACATCTAAAGTTCTATCGATTCTCTCAAATTCGATAGATTATTAGAGTATCCTTCAGCCTTAGATTTTTCTTCCGAGTAAATCTCAAGCTAGAGAATAAACCAATTATACCCCAGTGATTCTAATATGCAAAAACATATTAATAATTGTTCTTAAGGAAGTAATGTCCTTCGACTATTTTTCCTTGAGATTTAATCAATAATTATCGACAGGCTCCTTCAATTACTTTGGAGAAAATTTATTGATTCAATCCAACAAAACTATGCAACAATATTCACCAAGTTATTCCTCTTTCGATAAAATAAAATAATGAACAAGGTTGCAATATAATTCAAATTCCCATAACAAGTTCAAGCATAAGAATGAAAATAAAAATCCGAACAAATTCATCAATACAACATGTTTGTCAAATACCCTCTAAGAATCTACTCCATGGATGAAAATAAGTTTACTAAGAACAAAAGAGAAAGAAAACATAGCCATCAAACTTTGAATCCCAACTTCCGTTTTGGATTCGAGCAGTGTACCACGTCTTCCCCTTCCTCTCGCTCGTTGTCTTTCTTTTTGCTCCTTTTTCTCAATATCTTGCCTTGGGGAAAGCTCCAATATCATATAGAATAGGGTTTCCTTCGAAATTACAAAAGACACCCTTCCTTTAATGATTTCACGCCTCCACGCCGCGCGGGCGCACCGCTGGAAACCCAAGTACGCGGAGAGACAGCAGCTTCAAAAACCCACCTCGCGGGTGCGTGGAAAAGAGACCGAGCGCGTGACCTGCTCGCGGAGAGGAAATGACTGACTTGTGTTTCACGCGGGCGCGCGGACAGGCAGCACTTGCAAATGTATTTTTTTAATCCTTTAGCATTCTTGTTGGTCTTTTTTCACTAATTATGTCCAACACTTGAATTGACAACCCTGCATGCATGAAAAGTAGACCAATAATTGCAAAATTTACACTCAAAACTTATCTAAATCATCTCATTTTGTTGCCTATCAAATACCCCCACACTTGAGTTTTTGCTTGTCCCGAGCAAATTAGAACAACTTGACCCCCTCTAGAATTTGACGCACAAGACACTAGAAATAGTAATCGACTTCAACCATCCCTATAGGTGCATGCAACATTCATCGTTAAATGATTATTCATTGACAATGAAATTTAAGCGAAAATCAATCCATGAACTTCCTCACAACAAAGAAAATGTTATTTATTAACAATACTCATGCTCATGCATCACAAAAAGAACACTCTTATGTCACTCCGTCTCACAAAGAAGTACATCATATTTTTTTCAGAATACCATAGGCATGGCAATCGAGTATTTCTCCACTAATGTAGGACTTCTCAAGTTAAAATCATGTAGGACTTGCACGTGTGTAATTTGTGGTAAGGTGTTTGCAGAAAGTCATGTCCCCCCTCTCTTTTTCACGTTCTCTTGTTTTTTTTCTTTTTCTTTTAGGCAACTTTCGCCTTCTTTTGAAAACACATCCAACAAATTTCATTACTTTTCAACACATGACTAGATTCAATAGCCTCTCTTTTCTCTTATTTTTTTTGTTTTTGTTCCCATGAATCAATTCTCTACACCACTTATAATTTCAATTAATGGAGTGACACACAGGGGATTAGACTAGAGGGATGTATTGGATAGTAAAAAATGGATTATTATAAGGCTCAAATTGGTTGACTAGGGATACTTATCATCTATGGTTGGTGAATTTAGGCTAGAAGTGGGTTAATCAAAGAAAGCCTACAATCATATTCATCCTCAAAAAGTCCTAGAATTTTGCCTCAAAAAAACTACCATGCCAAGTTCTAGATTCTTTCAAACATGAGTACATATCAAGATCTTCTCACCCACACAATATTCAAGGATTTATAATGCTTTAACTTCACATGCCAGCAAGTAAGCAAATTTCAATTAAGAAATCAATACAACCTCTAGATAGGAATCAATCAATTTATATTTCTAGCACTTGTTCAACATTTATGCTACGACTCTTATCCTAAAAAAATGTCTGATTCTAAATAAATACGACTATGGTAAAAGAATCAGACAAGAAACCCATAGAAGTACAACAAAGAAGCTACCCTAGAAAGAAAAATTCATTTTTTTAGTTATTTACAACCCCTTCACCCCCACAATTAAGTTATGACATGTCCCCATGGCATAAAGAAACTGTAAAAGTAAAGGAAACTTCCCTGACTCTCTCTAGTCGATGTCGGAAATAGTGTATGGGTCCATTGTGTAGGCTTGGCCAAATGCACGCACCCATGCCATGATCTTTCTATCCGACTTGGTTGTCTTAACTATTAGCTCATCCACCTTCTTCATATTGAATACTACCTTTTCCTCTCCAACTCTAAGCATCAGTTTCCCTTCATACATATCAAGTATTGTTGTACAAGTAGCTAGGAATGGTCGGCCAATAATTAATGGAACCTCCTTATTTTCTTCCATGTCCACCACGATAAAATCTACTGGAAACACAAACTTGTCCACCCTAACTAGAACATCTTCAACTATCCCTTCAGGAATAATGATGGATTGGTCAGCCAACTGTAAGGGCATTGGGATAGATTTCATGATTCCGAGCTCTCCTTCCAAGTTCTTGAATATGGACAAAGGCAAGAGGTTTATAGAAGCTCCTGAGTCACACAAGGATTTCTCAAATCTACCAGTCCCTATTGCACATGGAATAGTGAAACTACCTGGATCACCACATTTCTGAGGTAGTTTATTTTGAAGGATGGCACTACAATGAGCATTCATCTTGACTAATGATGTTTCCTCAAATTTTCTCTTACTGGAAAAAATTTCAGTCAAAAATTTAGCATATGCAGCCATCTGAGTGATTACCTCAGTGAAAGGAATATTCACATGTAGTAGCTTCAGCATCTCTAAGAACTTGCCAAAATAATTGTCAACCTTCTCCCATTTCATCTTTTGAGGAAAAGGCAATGTAGGCATATATTTAGAATCAATTTCTAGTTCTGACTTCTCCTTTCCTTTCTGAATTTCATTGGACTTTCCTACTACTTTTTTACTTCCTTGTTTCTCATCTTGGCTCTTTGTCACTTCACAAGCTTTGCTTTGGTAATTATCGTTTAACATTTTTCTACTTCGCAAAGTCACACCTTTTAGCTCCTGAGGGTTCTTTACTGTGTCACTTGAAAGATTTCCAAGTGGTCTTTCAGATATCTGATTAGCAATCTGTCCAACCTGTTTTTCTAAATTTCGAATAGAGGCACCATGAATTTCAAATTGTTTATCAACCTTAGTGATGAAACTTTTAAGCATCTCTTCCAAACTGGATTGGTTCCCTTGTTGTCCCTGATGAGGTTGATATTGTTGTCGCTCGTGATTTTGATACCCCTAAAGTGTTTGTCTTTGTCCACTAACATTGTTCTGCTGCCACGCATTCAAACTACCATTTGGTTAGCTCCATGAGAATCCAGGATGCCTTTGCCCCATTGCATTAAAATTGTTTTCTTCTTGATAGTTCCCTTTGTTAAAGCATCCAACAACATTAACCTCTTCTGTAAATGACCCATGTTGACATTCATGAGTAGGATGCCTCCATGAACAAAAATCACATATTATTGATTGTGTCATTTAAGCCTGGTCTAGAGTCAATTGTTTCACATCCTTTGCAATAGCTGCAATCTGTGGCTGCAGGGTATTGTAAGTATCAACATCTCTTCCAAACTGGATTGGTTCGCTTGTTTTCCCTGATGAGGTTGATATTGTTGTCGCTGGTGATTATGATAGCCCTAAAGTGTTTTTCCTTGTCCTCTCACATTGTTCTACTGCCACGCATTCAAATTACCATTTGGTGAGCTCCATGAGAATCCAGGATGCCTTTGCCCCATTGCATTAAAATTATTTTCTTCTTGATAGTTCCCTTTGTTAAAGCTTCCAACAACATTAACCTCTTTTGTAAATGATCCATGTTGACATTCATGAGTAGGATGCCTCCATGTATAAAAATCACACATTATTGATTGTGTCATTTGAGCCTGGGCTAGAGTCAATTGTTTCACATCCTTTGCAATAGTTGCAATCTGCGGCTGTAGGGTATTGTAAGTATCAACTTGGTGCACCCTTGCAGTCTTCTTCCTTTCAGAATTCTCTACAACCCACTAATTAGCATCCTCTGCAAGTTCATTTAGGATTTCAATTGCTTCTTTGGGTGTCTTTTTCATGATTGGTCCTCCCACTGCATTATTTAATATTCTCCGTGATGTAGGTGATAATCCGTTCCAAAAATTTGTCAACTGCAACCATGGCTCTATTCCGTTATGTGGACACTTCCTCAACAATTCCTTGAATCTTTCCCATGCCTCAAACCCTGTTTTTGATTCTAGTTGACTGAAATTGCTGATCTCCTTCCTCATTCTAGCTGGTTTTGCTAGTTAGAAATACTTATCATGAAAATTTGTCGTCATTTCATCCCAGGTGCGGATTGATCCAGAAGGTAAATGTCGTAGCCAAATTTTAGCATCATCCTTTAAAGAGAAAGGAAATGCCCATTCGGCAAGTTCCTTCTTAAGCCAGCGTAAAGTTTTTTCCAACTCTGGATTGTATTCGATAACTTATTTTGAGGAAGATGCTGTCATACACCAAAGTTGTGGTTAATTCCTGTTGCCTGCAATACTGGGAACCTGCGGTGTTAACTAAAAAATTAAAATAAAATAAAACCTGAACTAATACACAAAACTCTATTGAAAACTACTTGTCGCCAATCCCCGGCAGCAGCGCCAAAATTTGACGAGCACAAACACACTATAAGTTTAGTGCTTCGTTAGTCAAATATAGTATAATATAAAGATCGTTTTCGCAGGGATTGGTACAAATAATAATTCTATAAAATCTTGCTAACTATTATTCAGGTGATCAAAAGAAAAGAGTTGATTGTGGTTATGAACCACTTTTATAGACTAAATGATAATTAAAATCGATTGGTCACTATGAAGTTTAATATCAATACTAAAGGATAGGGTACAAGACTAAACAAGTTCATAATGATAGTTGGGATTTGACTACATTCATTTATCACATCTAAAGTTCTATTGATTCTCTCGAATTCGATAGCTTATTAGAGTATCCTTAAGCCTTAGATATTTTTTCGGAGTAAATCTCAAGCTAAAGAACAAACCAATTATACCCCAATGATTCAAATATGCAAAAACATATTAATAATTATTTTTAAGGAAGTAACGTCCTTCGACTATTTTTCCTGTAGATTTAATCAATAATTATCAACAAACTCCTTCGATTACTTTAGAGAAAATTTATTGATTCAATCCAACAAAACTATACAACAATATTCACCAAGATATTCCTCTTTTGATTAAATAAAACAATGAACAAGGTTGCAATTTAATTCAAATTCCCAAAACAAGTTCAAGCATAAGAATGAAAATCAGAATTCCAACAAATTCATCAATACAACATGCTTGTCAAATACCCTCTAAGAAACTACACCATGGATGATAATAAGTTTACTAAGAACAAAAGAGAAAAATAAAACATAGCCATCAAACTTTGAATCCTAACTTCCGTTTTGGATTCGAGTTGTGTACTGCGTCTTCCCCTTCCTCTCGCTCGTCGTCTTTCTTTGTTCTCCTTTTTATCGATATCTCACCTTGTGGAAAGCTCCAACATCATATAACATAGGGTTTCCTTTGAAATCTTAAAAAAAACCCTTCCTTTAATGATTTCATGCCTTCACGCCGCGCGGGCGCGCCACTGGAAACCCAAGCGTGCGGGGAGGCAGCAGCTTCAACAACCCAACACGCGGGAGCGCGAGCAGCACACAGAGAGGAAATGTCTAACTTGTGTTTCACGTGGGTGCGCGAACAGGCAACGCTTGCAAATGTGTTGTTTTTTCATCCTTTAGCATTCTTGTTGGTCTATTTTCACTAATCATGTTCAACACTTGAATTGACAACCCTTCACGCATGGAAAGTAGATCAATAATTGCAAAATTTACACTCAAAACTTAAATAAATCATCTCATTTTATTGCCTATCAACAGGCACCCTGCCCCTAGTAGTGCCCAGAAAAATAGGTCTTTAGTTTGGGCCCTGGCGACCTGCACCAGCTAGTGAACCACAACTACCCTTCAGTAGTTTAGGGGCTGGCGCCCGCCAGGGTCTCCTGCCCCGTCCTGTCTTCAGTTGTTTAACCCATCTCAGTTCCCTTAAACTGTTCCTTCAATCCCTATTGATTCTAACTGCTCTAAACTACTTATAAACATCGAGAAATCATTCATAACATGAAATCATAACCTTGAATTCATAATTCAAATTCAAGGTAGAGCTAAGCGTCAAGTCTTGAAGGTTTTTTCGAGTCTTGTGAGATGACTTTTGCAAACCTTGTTAAACTTATTTTAAGACTTGAACCTTTGAGTTTCAGGAAGAGTAGAGTTGAGTTCATTTTCTTTAAAATTATATATGTGAACTAGGTATTCCCAAGAGGGAAACACGGATTTCCAAAAGATTTCATGAGAAGTTTTGAGTTCTATCACTTTTAAGAGAAACCTTTTGAGTAATAATCTCAAAGTTGAGGTAGAGGAAATGTTTTCTTTAAAACATATTAAGCTAAGTTATATATTGGGAGTAGAATTGAGCATCGATAAGGGGTAGAGTTCTAGCAACTCACAACCCCCACAAACCATGTAGCCAACGTGGGTAGAAAGGGTCATACTTTTTAGATGATTCCTTATTTATTTTTCGCATAGACTAGTGGATCCACTTAGTTGAGGAGTTCTATACCCCAACAAAGTATAGGACTGTTATGGAAGCGTGGGCTGGACGTTGTATCATCACATAACTCATAGTGATGGCTGACGGTTAGAGAATCTCCCAAATAGAGTTTATTTTGTATTTTTACATACAAACTGAGTTATATTGTATTTTACAATACATTGAGTTGTTATCTATTGTTTTAAATGTTTTATATAAACTACATCTTTATTGTTGTTTCATATTGCATTGAGTTGAAGTTGAGTTTACTTGTGACAAGGTAAGTTGTTTCTTCACTTCAAGTTCAAGCTTATGTCAGGTTTTAGATTTCCCCTCGCATGCTCATACATTCCATGTACTGACGCCATTTGGCCAGCATCTTTTATGATACAAATACAGGTAACCATGATTAGCATCCAACACTTCGTTGATCTAGTTGGGTTCCAGAGTTTCTTGGTAAGCCTCCTTGCTTCTGCATGATCCTTTATTTACTTTTAGTTATTTCATTTTGTTATTATGATATCATGGGTCTTGTCTCGACATCCATCTCAGTTAGTAAAGGCTTTATAGATAGATAGAAAGTAGTCCATGAGTCTTTTTATTCTCAGTTGTTAATGTTGAGACTTGAGTCACCTTTTGGCATAATTGAATGTGTTATTTCTAAAACATTGTGAGTTTATCTTTTGAGACAGTTGAGTTAAGTTACTTTTGAGTTCTTTTAAATGCTGACTAAAGTCTTCCGCTGAGTATTGAGCCAGGCCAAGGGTTCGGTTGGGGCAAACAATGGTTCTCGAGTGTCGGTAATGTCCAGGGTGTACACTCAAGGCATGACAAACATGGTATTAGATTAGAGGAGAAATGAGGGATGATTCAAGGCGTTCATCAAGTTCTTGAAGTTCTGTTGCGGAATTTTGCCAAGGGTTTGATCCCTTAGAGGTATATGAGTTCTCATAGTGTTGGGTTCATTTACCCACACGCCAATCATGCTATTTTAATGCAATTTCGTTCTCAAAGTTGAAGGATTTGAGTTATTGATAAGTTCTCTTGAAATTCCATTTGTAATCTTAATTGTTGGGATATTGATGAGTTCTTGAGATAAAAGTTAGTGATTGGAGGGTTGTTTTGAGTATACTATTGTGTACTTAGGTTGGGTATTTGAATCTAAGTGAGTGGGGAATAAACCATTCGATCATAGGCGAATTAGGATAAAAAAATGAGAGAGAAAATTCGTCGGGGAAATCTAGGCAGAGGTTGGCGCCATGCACCAACCAGTGTACCAGTAAAGCAGTTCTATAGTTTGGGGCCTGACGCCTTACACCAGCAAGTGCGCCCCAACTACCCTTCAGTAGTTTAGGGGCTGGCGGCCAGCGCCACTTAGTATGCCAGGGTTGCCTGCTCTGTCTTGTCTTTAGTTGTTTTACCCGTCTGAGTTACCTTAAAGTATTCCTTTAATCACTATTCATTCTAACTACTCTAAACTACTTCTAAACATCGAGAGATAATTCATAACATGAAATCATAACCTTAAATTCATAATTCAATTTCAAGGTAGAGCTAAGAGTCAAGTCTTGAGGGTTCTTTCGAGTCTTTTGAGAAGTCTTTTGCAAACCTTTTTAAACTTGTTTTAAGACTTGAGCATTTTAGTTTGAGGAAGAGCAGAGTTGAGTTCATTTTACTTAAAATAATATATGGGAACTAAGTATTTCCAAGAGGAAATGTTTTTACATTTAAGAAAAGAGGAAACGCCGATTTCCAAAAGAGTTCATAAGCAATTTTGAGCACTATCTCTTTTAAGAGAAATCTTT